TCTATTTTAGACCCAAGCAGAGTCTTAGTTTCATATTGGAGTGAATTTCATTAATTTTACATATTTTTATTCATGTCATCCAAGACTTGAGTTTATTTACATGCCACATAAACAAGACTAAACTCAATGCATTGTAGATGGTCGTACAACACATAGTGTAAAAGAAATTGTGCTTACTATATCAAGTAAATGTCATACGTTTTTTGTATAGATATAGATAACATAAAAGGAGGGAACACATGTTACCAGCGACTAAATGTAGTTTTATTTTCAAAATGACTAGTACAACATCCGTGTATTATACGGGTACTTGTTAAAAAATTATTTTTATATTTTAAAATTAATGAGAAAACTTTATTAAATTTAGTTTATTTTTTTACAAAAAAAAAATAATATATATTTTAGAATGATATGTGTTACTTATGACTTACATGAGTTATATTATATTAATTTTTATAATTTATATCATATAACTACTTGAAATATAAATATATTAGTTGATAAATAATTTTATTTTTCTAATTAATATTAAAAATAATTTTATTATTATTATAAAGATAAATATAAATTATATTTACTAATACATACAATATGGATGTTAAATCGAAACTCATCAAAAGAAGATTAATTTGATATATTATATATGTAAAACTGATAAAAAATACAAGTTATTAACTTTTAAAATATATATACAATTCAATAGTTATAATAAAGAATGATATTAAAATGCAATTATTACATGTAACATGACCATAAGTAATCAACATATTTATAGTAATCCGAACCTAGTTATTTTTTGTTTGAAATTAAATTAAAATTTACCCAAGCCTAATAACGAAGCATGTAATTTTGCTAAATAAGATTACGAAGTACCATAAGCAGTCACGTAGGCTCAGCGCATTCTGGATTAGGGGGATAGGGGGATTGTTTAGTAAGTGAGTAGTAATGCAATAAATGGAAAAAAAATAATTTAAGAAAATAAAATAAAGTAAAATAAATATAATATATAAACACAAATTAAAAAATATTATAATTAATGATTTGTCTGAAATATCGGCCCACCAAGATTTTTTCTGTTGAACCGCCACGTACCACAAACCGGGCTAACCTGCAAAATAACGTTGGGAAGGACCCCGGTCTACACTTCAGCACTCAAGTAAAGAAATTTTATTCTCAAAAGATCTTAATTGAGAAACTTATTTAGAGCATAATCATATAAATATAACCTAGACCCTTTATTCATAAGAGTATTAGTCATGGTTTCCAAATTGGACCGGCCAGACGGGTCGATTCGGGACTTGGTCAACCTTAAGCCGGACCTATCGGGACTTGGTCAACCTTAAGCCGGAATAGGTCCGAGTGAGTTATTCAGAACGGGTAACAATGGTCCCAGTCAAACTCAGTCAAACCCATTCGACTCAGGTATATATCTTTTTTGAAATATCTTTACAAAAATATGTATACATATTTATATAGTAAATATTTATTATGAGATACAATACTATTAACATTTTGAAGTACCAATTTTGTTACAAAATTTAATTTTATTACTTTTATGTAAATTTATATGAAAAAATATTATATATATAAATTTCAAAATTTTTAAACTAAATATCCAGTTCAACAGTTGAACCAGTGACCGGTCACCCAGATTATTGACATCATAACGCTGCAAATATATTTGTCTCATAAAAAAAAATATAGAATGGCATCATAACGATGCAAATATTTTTCTCATAAAAAAAATATAGAATGATAATTGATTTTATTTTTTATTATGTTAGTAGAACTAAACAATAATAAACATAAAAAAGAATATAGTACTATTATTACTTTGTTGAAAATTATGCATTTTATTAAAACCAAGATACATAAATATATACGAACCAAACTGAATCGTAACGCAATAGCACAGAACAAAGAAAATAAAAACCCTAGTTGTGCTCTAAAACACAGTGGCTTATCAGTTCATACGTTTGGCCTTTCGCCCCCATTCTCACAGGTTGACCTCGAGCAGATCTAGGTATGGTCTCTTCGTCTCCTCTCCTATTTGGTTGTGTGTTTTTGTTCTTTCCTTTCTTTGCAGGGCTTTTTTTTGTTCCAAAGTTGTTGTTTTTTTCATTGTTTTCTAGGTTTTGTCTCTGATTTTATTATATTGAAGATGGTATACTGCAGTAATTGTATTTGTATGCGTAAGAATATTGTGTAGTTTCCTTTTTTTTTCATGTGCGTGTAATGAATTGGGCTTATGATTTGGTAATATTTTTTCCCCATCACGAAATTTTGTAGTTTTTGTGGACTTGCTTGGAAAGATATGGCTGAAGAATCAGGAAGGAGCTTTGCTCGAAGAGACAAGCTTTTGGAGATCGAGTCCGAGGTCCAAAAGCTGTGGTCGGAGGGTGATGTGTTCCGTGCCGAACCGAAGGATGCAAAACCTAAAGAAGGGGAGAAATTCTATGGGAACTTTCCATTTCCTTATATGAATGGATATCTGCACTTGGGCCACGCATTTTCTCTTTCGAAGCTCGAGTTTGCCGCCGCCTACCACAGATTGAGGGGAGCCAATGTGCTTCTACCTTTCGCCTTCCACTGTACTGGAATGCCCATAAAGGCTTCGGCCGATAAGCTCAAAAGGGAAATCGAGAGATTTGGGAATCCTCCCGTTTTTCCAGCTGTCAAGGAGGAGGAAATTTGCGAGCACGAAGGGAAACCCGAGGGTAGTGAGGCTGATGGGAATCAGGCTCATCCTGGTGGTAAATTCAAGGGGAAAAAATCTAAAGTTGTTGCCAAATCCGGTGGGATCAAGTACCAGTGGGAGATTATGCAGAGTTACGGATTGTCTGATGAGGAGATTGCGAAGTTCACCAATCCTTACCATTGGCTGACCTTTTTCCCGCCTCTGGCCGTGGAGGATCTGAAAGCCTTCGGACTGGGCTGCGACTGGAGGCGTACATTCATCACGACCGATATGAACCCGTATTTTGACTCTTTCGTCAGGTGGCAAGTTAGAAAATTGAAAAACATGGGCAAGATCGTGAAGGATTTGAGGTATACCATTTACTCTCCTCTGGACGGGCAGCCGTGCGCGGACCACGACCGTGCCTCGGGTGAGGGTGTCATCCCGCAGGAGTATACCCTCATAAAAATGGAGGTAATCTCGCCTTTCCCACCAAAGATGAGTGCTTTGGAAGGGAAAAAGGTGTACCTTGCTGCTGCTACTTTAAGACCCGAGACAATGTACGGGCAGACCAATTGTTGGGTTTTGCCAGATGGAAAATACGGGGCTTTTGAGATAAACGACACTGAAGTTTTCATCTTGACGAGACGGGCAGCTCTGAATTTGGCCTATCAGAAGCTCTCGCGCGTGCCCGAGAAACCCACCTGTCTGGTAGAGTTGACTGGTCAAGATCTCATCAGTTTGCCTCTGAAAGCCCCATTGGCCTACAATGATGTTATTTACACCCTTCCCATGTTGTCCGTTCTCACAGACAAGGGCACCGGTATTGTTACTAGCGTCCCGAGCGACTCTCCCGATGATTACATGGCTCTTCATGATTTGAAAGCAAAGCCAGCATTCAGAGCCAAATACGGGGTGAAAGACGAGTGGATCCTTCCGTTTGAGATCATACCAATCATCCACCATCCCGATTTCGGGGACAAGTCGGCAGAGAGAGTATGCATTGAGAAGAAGATCAAGAGCCAGAACGAGAGGGAGAAGCTCGACGAGGCCAAGAAGATAATCTACAAGGGAGGTTTCTACGAGGGTACGATGCTTGTGGGTGAGTTTACTGGGATGAAAGTTCAGGAGGCCAAGGGTTTGATCCGGAGCAAGCTCTTGGAGCTGGAGCAAGCTGTGGTCTACAGCGAGCCAGAGAAGAAAGTCGTGTCGAGATCCGGTGACGAATGTGTCGTGGCCTTGACAGACCAGTGGTACATCACTTATGGAGAACAAGAATGGAAAAAAGCGGCCGTGGAGTGTTTGGCCGGGATGAATCTCTACTCGGACGAGACCCGTCACGGATTCGAACACACCTTGAGCTGGCTTAACCAGTGGGCTTGTTCTAGAAGCTTCGGGCTTGGGACCCGTATTCCGTGGGACGAGGAGTTTCTGGTCGAGTCCTTGTCCGATTCGACTCTCTACATGGCATATTACACTGTAGCTCATATGCTTCAGAGAGGGGACATGTATGGGGCCGACCTGTCTTCAGTAAAACCCGAGCAGCTAACGGACGAGGTCTGGGATTTCTTATTTGTTGACGGCCCGTATCCCAAATCCTCTGATTTGCCCGTGACCCTTCTCAATAAGATGAAGCAAGAGTTTGAATATTGGTACCCGTTTGATTTAAGGGTATCTGGAAAGGACCTCATTCAGAACCACCTCACGTTCTGTATATACAATCACACGGCCATCATGCCCAAGCATCACTGGCCGAAAGGATTTAGGTGCAACGGCCACATCATGCTCAATTCCGAGAAAATGTCGAAATCGACCGGGAATTTCAGGACCCTCCGCCAGGCAATCGAGGAGTTCTCTGCTGATGCCACTCGGTTTTCGCTTGCTGATGCTGGTGACGGCATGGATGATGCCAATTTCGTATTCGAGACGGCAAATGCCGCCATTTTACGCCTCACGAAAGAGATTTCGTGGATGGAGGAAGTCATTGCCGCCGAGTCGTCTCTAAGGAATACGCCTCCCACAACGTACGCGGATCGTGTGTTCGCTAACGAGATGAATATAGCTGTGAAATCGACCGAAAAGAATTTTAGCGATTATATGTTCAGGGAAGCTTTGAAGAGCGGTTTTTACGATCTCCAGGCGGCGAGGGACGAGTACAGACTGTCGTGTGGGGCCGGGGGTATGAACAGAGACTTGCTGTGGAGGTTCATGGACATCCAAACGAGGGTTATTGCTCCTATCTGCCCTCATTACGCTGAATATGTGTGGAAGGAGCTGTTGAAGAAAGGTGGCTATGTGGTGAAAGCCGGCTGGCCTGAGGCTGATTCGCCGGATATGACTCTAAAAAAGGCAAATAAATATCTGCAGGATACTATTGTCTCTATGAGGAAGCTTTTGCAGAAGCAGGCCACGGGCTCGAAAAAAGGTGGGAAAACGGGTCCCACTAATGTTGCCTTTAAGCCCACAACTGGATTGATATTCGTGAACGAGCAGTATGATGGGTGGAAAAAAGAATGTCTGAACATTCTCAAGAGGAAATTCGATTCTGCCACGTGTACTTTTGCGCCCGACCAGGAAATACTTTCCGAACTGGCAAAGAGTGATGTCGGGCAATCGGGCAATTTCAAGCAGATACAAAAGCTGTGCATGCCGTTTTTGAGGTTCAAGAAAGACGAGGTTAAGGCTGTTGGGGTTCAGGCGCTCGATCTGAAGCTGCCATTTGGCGAGATAGAAGTGCTCGTG